AGCAGTAGGCAGGTGAAAACTCTTAGAAAGGATATCTAAGGATAACGAGTTTTTCACCAAAGAGAATGAAAATATCCAAAGACCATAAAAAGAGACTGAATGAAAAGGCAGACAACTTTACGACATACTGTGAAGAGAACTAAACTCAAATCAACAATCCACCCAATTAGAAAGAGAGAGAACAAAATAAAGGAAAAATGAGGAAACTCCACAAGAAATATCAGCCTCCATCAGAAGAAACTTAAGGACAACTGACTTCCCAAGTGAGAAGAGCAGAGACCCTAGTTCAAAGAAATAATAACCAAGAATTTCCCAAACCTAAGGATTGAATTAAAAATGGATGTTCAGGAAGCAGAGAGAACAATCCAGTTTTTTCACTGTTATCTCTTTTTAATAATTTATATGAATTTTATATCATTGTTCATATGTGTACAATGTCTGCTTTCTCCTCTCAGGTGTAGCGCTGTGGGATCCCCACCACCAATTTACCCGAGCACCATCTCCAAAGCCCCCTGTGCTCTTCCCTCCCCTGTTTTGCTCCCTCTCCCTCTCCTTACCCTGCAAAATGTCTCTGATTTATAGTTACTTGTCAGTTTTGGTCTTTTATTTATTGTTATTTCCCCCCGATTCCTTATTTGGTTCCCCTACATTACTCCTGTAACTGAAACCATTAGAAATTTTTCTTTTTCCTTCTGGCTTATTTCACTGGCATAATCCCTTCTAGTTCCATCTATGTTGTTGAGAATGGCATAAATTTATCTATTTGATTGCTGAATGGTATTCCATTGAATAATACCCAAATTTTTAAATGCAGAAAGACCTACACCAAAACACAATATTGTTAAATTATCAAAGATAAAGAAAAATTTTATAGAAGGCAAGGAAGATGAAATTAATGTACAAAGACATCCAAACTAGACCTTCTTTGGATTTCACCCCAAGGCTTTCCAGGCAAGAAGAGAGTGATGTAAATGTTCACAATGCTAACAGACAAGAACTGTCAGTCAAAAGTATTCTATCCTGAAGGAACATACCTTAACAAAATAAAAGCCATATATGACTCACAGTCAGTATCAAAGCTGAGAGCCTTCCCTGTAAGGTCTGGAACAAAACAAGGATGTCCACTCTCACCACTGCTTTTCAATATAATATTAGAATTCCTAGTTAGAGCACTGAGACAAGAGAAAAACATACAAGTAATTTTAAATAGGGAAAAATGTAAAACTATCATCATTGGCATGTGATATGATATAAAAACTCTACAGAAAAACTAATCAAAATTACTGGTTTAGTAAAGTAGCAGGATTCAAAATCAACCACAAAAATTAGTAGCCTTCTACATGCAAACAATCAGTCTGACGAAGAAGAAATTAAAAAAAAAGCTATTCTATTTACAACTGTACCAAAAAAAGTTTAAATACCTGGGAATAAACCTAACAAAGGAGGTAAAAGACATATACAAAGAAAAGTATAAAACATTGTAAAAGAAATAGATGACACAAAGAAATGGAAAGACATACCTGTTCATAGACTAGAATGGCCATTCTACTGAAAGCAAATTTCAAATTCATTGTAATTCCAATAAAAATCTCCATGGCTTTCATGAAAGAAATGTAACAAGTATTGCTAAAATTCATATGGAATATCAAAAAACCACAAATAGCCAAAGCTCTCTTAAGTAAAAAGAAGGAAAACGGAGGTATCACACTCTAAGACTTCAAACTATACTGCAAAGCCAAATAATTAAAGCATTACACTACTAGACCGAAAACAGACACACAGAAAGACCAATGGAATCAAATTGAAAACCCAGAAATAAAGCCACATGTAGATGGGCAACTAATATATGACAAAGGAGCAAAGAATATGCAATGGCACAAGGACAGTCTATTTTATTATTATTTAAATTATATAAATAGTAACAATTATTATTATTATTTTATTCAATAAATGGTGCTGGGGAAATTGGTCCGTCACGTGTTGAGAATGAAAGCAGACTACTACTTCACACCATGCACAAAAACTGATTCAAAACATATAAAAGACTTGAATATAAGACCTGAAACCATAAAATGTGTAGAAGAAAACAGACAAAACACTCCATGACGTACATCATAAGCATCTTTAAAGACTCATCCCAGCAACAAAGAAGTGAAGGCAAAGATAAACAGCTGGGACTACATCAAACTAAAGTTTCTGTACACAAAAGAGACATTAACCAAAATAGACACCCTATGGATTGAGAGAAAATATTTGCACTGCATACAACTGATAAGGGACTGATTTCAAAGATCTACAAAGAGTCCACTTGACTCGACAAAGCAAACAATCCAGTCAAAAAATGGGCAGAAAAGCTAAAAGGACACGTTTTCAAAGAGGAAATGCAAATGGCTAATAGGTATATGAAAAAATGTTCAACATCTCTTATAATCAGGGAAATGCAAATCAAAACCACAGTGAGATGCCGCCTCTCACCAGTGAGAATGGGCCACATTAAAAAAAAATATATAACTACTGTTGGTGAGGATGTGTAGAAAAGAAACTCCCTTACACTGCTATGGGAATACAAGTGGTCTGACCACAATGGAAGGCTGCATGGGCTACCAAAAGTGGAGCTACTATGTGATCCAGCAATTCTCCTAAGAATCTACCCAAACGTTACAAAAGCATTAATTCGAAAGGAAACCTGAATTCCTATGTTCACTGCAGCATTATTTATAATAGCTAAGATATGAAAACAAACTAAATGCCCAAAGCAGATAGATGACTGGATCAGAAAGATGTGGCATATATACATAATGGAATATTACTCAGTGATCAAAAAAAATAAACTCATGCCATTCACAATAACCTAGATGGAGCTGAAAGGGATTATACTTAGTGAAATAAGTCAGAAGGAAAAAGAAAAATATCTGTTATTTTCACTTATAGGAGAAACATAGGGAAACCATGCAAGGAATCAGGAAAAGATAAAACAAACAGGTAAACTATAAATCAGAGACATTCATCAGGGGAGGGGGAGGGAAAGGGAGCAAAACTGGAGAGAAGAGCACAAGAGTCTTTGGTGACGGTTCATGAGTGTCTTGGTGGTGGGAATTTTATGCGGATTACACCTGAGAGAAGTCAAACATTGTACAAAAATGAACAATGATGTAAAAGAACATATAAATAAAATTTATATATAAATAAAAACTGTTAACTATTTGGAACATTCAAAAAAAAAAACAAAACAGCAAAAGCCCAGTACAAGATGACTTCTCTAGTGATTTCTACCAACTTTCAAGGAAGACCTAATACCTATCCTCAAACTCTTCAAAAATAAAAAACTCTGACATAGGAAAACTTCCCAATCTATTCCATGAGGCCAACACTATCCTGACTCTAAGACCAAACAAAGACAGTACAAAAAAGGAAACTGTAGACAATATCTCTGATGAACCCAGATGCAAAAACCCTCAAGAAAATCCCAGCAATATCCTCAGCAAAAGTCTAAATAAAGTAACATACTATGAGAATTATCCACCACAATCAAGCAGGCTTCATCCCACCGATGCAAGGCTGGTTCCACAAATGCAAAGCAGTCAAAGTCATTCACCAGATTAACAAAAAGGAAGATAAAAACCACATGATCACTTGAGGCTGCTGGAAAAGTATGCAACTAGATTCAATAGCCATTATGCAAAAAAAAAAAAAAACAACAAAACACTAAATAAAGTGAGTAAACAGAATTTATCTAAACATTATAAAAGCCAGAGGGAAAGTGGGGAGGGGAGGGAATGGGCTTGGGGAGGTAAACAGGGGTACTGGCATTGGTGGTTTGGAGAGGGTAAGTGCAACATGCACATATGTAAGCAAAACTATAGCCCCCAAATTAAAAACAAAAACTAATCCCACAAGGTCACATACTATGCTTTGATTTATATCACATCCTTCAAATGACAAAATTCTAGAAATGGAGAAGAGGTTAGTAACTTCCAGGGGTCTAGGATTGGGATAAGGGGCAGTGGATTGACTTTAACAGGGCAACATAAGGGATGGAACTATGTCTTAACCATAGTTTTGCAAGATGTTATCACTGGGGGAAACTTGGTGAAGGGTACATGGGATTTCTATATTATTCTTACAATTGCATGTCAATCAATTATCTAAAAAGAAAGTTTAATTTTAAAAAGTTATATACTGCACGATTCCACATCCACCACATCCCTGAAAAGACAAACTATAGTGACACAGAAGTGATCTGTAGTCACCTGAGGTTATAGGTAGGGGAGGCAGGACTATAAAGAGAGAGCCTGAGGCAGTTTTTTAGGGTGATAAAACCATTACCAATCCTGCAGATTCATATACCAATCTGTACATGTGTTAACATAAACAGAATTGACAACAAAGTAAATTTTACTGTATACTAACTTAAAAAACAAGATTTTAAAGTGAAAAGGAAAACAACAACAACAACACAGCTGTCTACAGATGAGACTCAAAAGCCCAAATAAGAAAATTGCTACAGGAAATTATTTGAAACACAACCAAGTTCCATTACAAAAATGCATTTTTATACTGTCTTCAGTCCACTGAGGGACACTACAGGAAATATCTGCAGGAAACCAAGGACTGCAAATGTCACAGGGACTGCATATGTCACCAGGTTGTGGTTAAAGCCAAACCTACCATCCACAAGAAAACCCAGCAAAGAAATGTCTTAGACAATGGCGGGAAACCTTCACTTCCCTGATGATGTGGTGCGCTCTCTCCGGATCAGTAAAGTGAGTCAGGTTACAGGTTACATTTCCCTCTGGCTGCCAAAGGCTCAAGGAGATACCTGCCGCTCAGCATTAGTATATTAGTATGTGCTACACCCACGTTCACATTCTAATCTGATTTTGATCTGCCTTGTCTTTTCCCCTGATCCAAATGTTTATTAATCCTCTCCCATATTATGGAAAAGATTTCTACATGGCTCATCATATACAGTAAGAGTAAGGAACAAATAACATACTTACTTGGGGTTCAGCCATTTTCTGCTCTTCTTGGCAAAAGGGGGGATAGGTGTGAAGATTGAGCTGAAGAGTGGAGAAGAGTAGAGCACATGAGAGACTGCCATTAGGTTTGGGGTGCACAGAATTATCTGCCTAGAAATCCCCTCAAACTAGCTGGGCTACCTCAAAGTCTGGGCAACCATGTGTTTTTAACAACCACCTGTGTATTCTTGGTTGTTTTCCTCATGTGAACATCTAACAAAAGGACTTTTAGTATATGTACTTGTGTGTTGACCCAAAAATTGTATTTCTAGATATCTTCCTTAATGAAATTTATCATGATTTCTCTGCGTCTTTACCTCAGCATTGATTTAACAGTGCCAAAGTTAAGCAATCTTAAATGACCCATCATATAGTATTAATAAGGAAATGCAAGGGATGAGATGCTATGTCGCTATGAAAAATAGTGAAGGGAACTAATCAGTTTACTTTTTGGTACATGTATCTTAAGTACTAAATGTTAAAAAATGTTAAGCTAATCACAGTAAACTTCTGAATGAAAAAATGGTAGGTTATAAAACTACGGGAACCCATTTTAAAACTATATGTGTTTGAAAATGCATACCACTATACATCGTAAACATGTACGGATGGACATTTAAATGTAGGGGGATAACATTAGTTCTTTTTGATTTTCTTCTCCTGTTTTTTAATTAATCTACAATTCAAATACAGTACTTATTTGTTAAGAGCCAAAAAACACACCAAAAAATGCTTTAAAATTATTTCCTATGACTTTTTCAGTCGATCGGCTTAGGGGACCCTCCACTCGGCTCCCCAAAGCAGCACCCGGCCCCGCCCACCCTTCACAAGTCCCCAGCTCGCAGGAGGCTCCAGGTAAGTTGAGTCCGCTCAGATGCCTCTTCCTTCAGCTCACCTCGCAGAGGTCCTTTGGAGCAGGAGTCAGATGGAAGGCTTCGGGTGCAGTTCACAGCAGGCCCTTCCTTACCTTGGGGCTGGGGTAGAGGGAAGGGACTGAGGGGCGGGGAGGGCACGCCTTGAGAGGTGCGTATTAACCGTTAGCGCAGGTCACTGTGCTAGAAAAGGTGTAAAAGCCAAAGTTTAATAATCGCCCCATTCAATCCAGACTAGCCCCGTAAGACCTCTCTCGGCTCCCCCATCACTCCGCAACCCTCCCGTCAATGACTCCCCCAAGCCTCCCTTCACCCCTAGAATTCGCGCCCTCCACCTCACTCTTCCACAATTCTCAGCTAGCGGTTGAGAAGACCGTTACCAGAACAGGCCCCCAGAAGCACTTCCGCTTGGGAAGCCGTTGAGCGCTGCGGCGCCTGGTGTGCGCACGCTCAGCGTGAGCTTTGAGGCTGCGTCCGCCAATAATTAACATGGGGCCCACCCTCCCGCCCGCCCGAAGCAAGGGACCCGACACAGCGCAGGAGCAGACCCGGTGACGTCACTGCTCCCAGGCGATGACCGCGCCCACTGCCTTCTGCAGGTCGTGGGCGCCGGTGTTAGGCAGGTGTTCACTTTGTTTTTCCGAGGCGGTCGTTCTTAAGACTCCAAACCCAATTCCTACGGCGGGTAGCGGAAGTGTCCATTGAAGGGAAATTCTAGTAGTCAGGAATTTGGTGCCTTGCACTAGGATAGTGGCATCGGGTTTGCAGGTGTAGTTGAACTGGTAGGCGGGGTGCGTGGCGGTATTGACCTGAGTGCACAAAAGCAAGAAACAGGGATAGATCATTAGCTCCATCCAGTGGCTAGGGCTGAGAGTTGACAGTCCAGCGGTTGAAGAAAGGTACACAGACAAACTGAAGAATAAAACAGCGGTACAGGATAGAGACACACAGAGAGACGCACCCTGGCATGAATGGGATTTGTTTAAGTGACTGACAGGTGCCTTTCTTTGGATGAGTAAGGACGATCTCCTTTCGTCGGAGGTGACAATTATGCAGACTAAAAGAAGCTGGGTACGCAAATATCTGAGGCAGTATTTCAGTGGAGTGTACAGCTGCTGCAGGGACCTTGAAGTGGGACCCAGTTTGGTGTGTTGGGGGAACAGAGAGAGTGTCAGTATATTGGGAGTATAGGAAGCATGGGAAAGGGAGTGTGACTGGGAGCTAGATGCTGTAGGGTCCCTTCTGCCTGGGACAGAGCTATATTTCATTGTGACATAATAGGAAACCATAAGAAGGATCGGATTTTAAAAAGAAGTCTGGGCCCCTCCCTGGTGGTGCAGCGGGTTAAAGCACACCACTGCAAGCTGGCTGCAGCCACTTCAGTGTGAGTTTGATCCCCCACCCCAGAGGTGACCCACATGGTGCGGCAGACCTCTCCTGACCCGCCTGCTACTCCCCTCAGCAGTGAACTTAGTCAATATGCCTTTCCTGCTCCCCACTCTGTCTCTGGTGAATCCTCTCACTGCCCCTGCACCTCTGGCCTATACCCCAGTTCTGTATGCATAAATAAATAAATCTTTTTCTTTTTTAAGTCTGAAACAGGCCCTCCCTGGTGGTGCAGTGGGTTAAAGCACTGCAGTAAGAATCTTAAGCCACTGCCGCATGGGTTCGATTCCCGCCTGCCCCGGAGGTGACCATATGGCGTGGCAGACCTCTCCTGACCCGCCCGCTGCTCCCCTCAGCAGTGTACTTCGTCGATCTGCCTGTTCTGCTCCCCACTCTGTCTCTGGTGAAGCCTCTAAAGATTTATTTATTTGTGCATACAGCACTGGGGTGCAGGCCAGAGGCTCAGGGGCAGTGAGAGGCTTCACCAGAGACAGAGTGGGGAGCAGAACAGGCAGATCAACGCAGTACACTGCTGAGCGGAGCAGCAGGCGGGTCAGGAGAGGTCTGCCGCGCCATGTGGTCACCTCCGGGACAGGCGGGAATCGAACTCATGCAGAAGCAGCTTTAGATTCTCAGTGCTGTGCTTTAACCCACTGCGCCACCAGGGAGGGCCACAAATAAATAAATCTTTAAAAAAAAAAAGTCTGAAACAACTTAGCGTTATACAGTAATGTTAAAAATATAAAATGCACACCTATTTTATTTATTATGTGTCTTGCACCACGGGCACACACATACACACTCACAGGGGTGGGGAGAGAGCCCTTAAAGGTTGGCTAGTGTTGGAATGCAGAGATTGCCAGCTTCAGAAAGGTTCATGAGCCAGGGATATGGCCTGGCAGAAACTGCCCCAGGTTTCACAGTGCACATCCACAAGCTACGTGAGGCCTGCTTTTCTAGAGTCTGAGGAGCTTGGACCCTCATTCTGTCCTGAGCATTCTCTACCATCAGTCCCTACAGATGCAACTTCTCATACAGCAGCCTAAGCAGCAGGTCGCTATGTGAAGGAATGTGGAAATCTGACAACTGATCTCACCACATAGCCTGCACAATGTGACAGTCACACCCAAAGACAATGAATAAGCCACCCCACCTTACTTGTGAGTCATCATCACAGTTGCTAATCTTAAAATACATTTTACCAAAAATATGAAAAAGGTTGTCAACTGTGAGTAGTCAATTTGGACCGTGAGGTAGCAAGTGAGTATGGCCAAGCCAAAGCATGGTCTCTGTTGATCTTGGAGCTGCCTCATTAACCTTGAATTACCTGCCTCCAAGAGCGGAATCCCTTCCCATCCTCTTGAAGTCCCCATATTTGTGGGGGTGTTGGTGTGTGCAGACAATCTATCAATGTTTTGTGTCTTGGCCAATGTGTCAATAAATGGCAGACACCAGATAGGGCTGGTAGGGTGAGCCACAATGACGGACAAATTGGGAATAAGTGGGGGCAGGAGAGATGAGAGACAAAGGATGAGGGAAGGGGGAGAATGAACCGTAGAGTGAGGTGAATGTGGATAACGTGGGTCTAGAGGGAGGAATGGGGTGCACGAGGGACAGAATCAGAGGGAATGGAGATGACGAGTGGTATAGTGAATATGTGATGGTGACACAGATGGCAGCTGTGTGTGAGGATACTGTGAGGGAGCGACAGTGGCTAGAGGTGAAAGAGGGGAAGACTGCGATCAGACAGGGGCTTTCAGGTCAGAGTTTGCTCCCAGAATATGCCCTGGTGTGAATCAGCTTGGGTGAATGAGCAGAAGCTGGTGTGTGAGTGGATGTGGCAGGTTGAGAGGGAGTGAGCAGAAGGTGGGTAAATGTAGGTGTTGTGAGGCTAAGAGTAGGGGATGGAGGTCACAAGACCCAGGGTGAGCAGGGTGAGGAAAATGAGGCCCATGTGAGCAAAACGTGGTGAACTGATAGTGGGTGATCACTGATAGGTGGCATAGGGGCTACATCAGGAGTGAGTTTCAGTGAAGGAGGTAGGGAGAGCAGAGGAAGAGAGAGTGGAGGCGCTCAAGTGGAATGTATGACTTAAACCAGGCCTGGGGAGCATTGTGGGCAGAGTTCTGGAATTGGGACGAGTGGGGGCAGCCTTTGAGAGAAAAGAAGAAATGGGCAGAAAGAGAATGAGGGTGAAAATGAGGCCCCAAATTAATGAACAGTGCTGGAGGGTGGGTCAAGGAGAGTGGAGGGCGCCATGGACAGTGGTTGGAAGTAGAGATGAAAGTGACAAATGATGAACTATTGTAAAAGATTTCCTTAGCTTTCCCTACCATTCTTTTTTTTTAAGTTTATTTTTTAAGAATTATTTACTTGTTTATGCATAAAGAACCAGGGTAGAGGCCAGAGGTGAGGGGCGGTGAGAGGATTCACCAGACACAGAGTGGGGAGCAGAACAGGCAGATTGACGAGGTACACTGCTGAGGGGAGCAGTGGGGGAGACCGGAGAGGTCTGCTGTGCCATGTGGATAATCTCCGGGACCAGGGATCGAACTCGCACTGAAGCAGCTGCAGCCAGCTTACAATGCTGCATCCTAATCCATTGCACCACCAGGGAGGGCCCCTACCTCCCATTCTTTTAAACACATCTTTATTTTGGCACTTCTGTTTTATGTTTCCAAATGCTTTCTATTTTTCCTATGTTTGTTGTTTTCTCATTCTGTCTTTCTTCTCGTATTGTGTATTCTCACCCAGCAGAGTGGGGGGAATGGAGGGAACCAAGCAGTAGACATGACTGTGAGAGGAGAGTGGAACAGTGGTGAGGAAGGGGCAAGTCTGAGGCCCAGCACCTGAGTCCTGTCTGTCCATTGTGTGTCCCTATAGCCCTTCTCTCCCCGCATCTTTCTCATGTCTCTGAGCTTCTCCCTGGTTTTGTTTATTACCATCTCTCTGTGTGTCAGTATCTTTCTTTTTGCTTGTGCAAACATCTCTAGCAGATCTGGCAATGGGACAGATCGTAAAGTCACGTCTGTGTTCTAGAATCTTTCACTTATATCTTTGCTCATAGAGTCCAGAGTTCCAGAATGCTCTTGATTTTGAACACTGTGGGGTAAAGTCTGGAGTAAGGTGCCATCTTACAGAGCTTGTGGGCATCATAATGCAGACTTGGGACATTGCAGTGGTCATCCTAGCCATAGTGATGGCTACCACTGTGGATACCAAGATCTATGAACGCTGTGAACTGGCATCAAGGCTGCAGAAGGCAGGACTCAACAACTTCAAGGGCTACAGCGTCGGAGACTGTGAGACTCCAATACCCCAAGTACCACCCACATCCCGAGCTTCCACCACACTCAGAACCCGGCTCCATGTCATTTATCACCTCCACAGTCAGGAAATGATCCTCACAGCCATCTCCTGACTGATCATGGTGACTGGTTTAACTCTACTGTCATCATCACCATCTTTGGCCTCACAACCATCACCCTCATTGCTCCCACCAACACCATCACTATCATCAACAAATAGCACCTCTTATTTTCATGAATATCATCACCACCACCACCACTACCATCAGTGATATCACGAACATCAACACTACTATCAGACCAAGATCATCGCCCCCACAACTGAGGTGCCAGTCATCCCTGCCCCTCCCCTCCCCTAATCCCAAACACCTTACCTATCTGCTTCTTTCTCCTCCCTGTTGAAGGGCTATGCATGGCACACTACGAGAGTGGCTTTGACACCTCCTTCGTGGACCACAATCCTGATGGTAGCAGTGAATATGGCATTTTCCAGCTGAATTCTGCTTGGTGGTGTGATAATGGCATTACACCCACCCAGAACCTCTGTCACATGGAGTGTCGAGGTAAGGCAGCAACTCCAGCCATCCTGAAGCCCTGCCTGGCCCCACTCCCCAAAACACAGTGGGCAAGGTCTAAGCTATAAACTCCAGTAACAAGTAGAAAGATAATAGGGAAAGGAGCAGAGTTCCCGGCTGGTAGAAACTCCATCCTGTAGCCTTACCCGGGTTGTGCTGAGAAGTTGGCTAGGTCAGGAGGACTCAGAGCTCCCAAACCTTACCCAGAATGGAGGGTGGTTTTATGGGACTCAGCAAACAGGAAACTTAACTCCATATGGAATGGAGGAGAGATTATCCTGACTTAGGGTTGAGGTTGTTCAAGTTCTGAAGCAAGCCACAGAAGTCTGGTTGTAGAAACAGAAACAAGGTACCGCAGAAAGACAAGAATTTGAGTGGTAGTGTTGAGGACAAACTTGAATAGCAGTAAAAGTTGTTCAGTGTTGGTCAAAATGATGAGCAAGGTTGTATAAGACAGGCCAAAATGGATACTCGGGTTCTTTGGGGGCAGCTCAAATGGAGATGGAGGTTTCCCACTTCCTGCCGCAAAGACAAAAGAGGTCACCCAGGATTGGTCAGTTTAAATGTTGGAGTGAATAAGCCAGAAAGAAAAAGAAAATTCTGTATGTTTTCACTCACAGCAGGAGTGTAAGGGATCAGGGGAAAAAGAAAAAAGAGAGAGAGGGAGAGAGAGAAGCAAATACAATAAAGTAAAAATGAGAACAACAAACAACTATAAACCAGAGACATGGTATGGGGTGGAAAGGGAGTGGGATCAAAACTGGGATGGGAAGAGGGCACAGGACTATGGCGATGACACACGGGTGAATTGGTGGTGGGAAGCCCATGGGCTACACCTGAGGTGGATAAATGTACAAAATGAAGAATGATGTAAAATAAATAAATAAATAAACAACAATTTTAAAATAATAATAAATTTATTTTAAAAATAAATAAAGGTTGGAATTGTCTGAGACTGGCCACTATAAAGGTTGAAATTGTCTAGCAGGTGGTAACATGAATGTTGAGGTTTTTCAAGAGTAGTTAGAAAGTAAAAGTTGTTTAGTTTAAGCCATTATGGAAGGTTTTGTGTTTTTGTTTTTGTTTTTTTTTACATTTTCAAAGGACAGGTTTATTAGGAAAAGGAGACAGAGGCACCTGCATAGTCACAGGTGGGTAAGAGAGCTGCTAAGACAATATGGAGATTGAAATAGTCCAGGGTTAGCTAAAATGGAAGTTGAGATCCTGGAGCAGTCACCATGTATGGTGAAGTTATTTACAACCATTCAAAAGGCTACTTGGGGTTGTCCAGGACTGGTCATTGTGGTAGTGATCATTAACTAGTTAAAATGACAGTTAAGGTCAGTCATCCTGGTCCATCTATGACAGTTGAGATAATCTGGAACCAGACACCTTAGTAGCTGAAGTTGGACTAGCCAACATGGAGATTGAGGTCATTAGTAACCAATCAAAATGGGAATTGAGTTTATCTAGGCCTTGATAACATAGTATCTGAAGTCACGGAGACCGCCTGACTTGCAGGTGAGCAGCTTCCTTATCAGCCATCTTGGCAGGTGAGGTGATTTATAATCAGCTTACAAATTAATCAAGGGTCAATCAAAAATCAACCAATGTAGTGGTTGAAGTTGTTCAGACTCCAAGGAATCTAGAGTCCCAGGACCTCCATATACTGTCCCCCTGTCCCCAAGGTGACCATACTCCTCTCTTCTCCCCAGACCTGCTCAATCGCCATATTCTGGATGACATCTTGTGTGCCAAGCAGGTGGTGTCCTCACAGATTGGAATGATGGCCTGGTAAGTTCAAGGAGTTGGCTTCTTGGACCCTGGGCATCTGGGATGGGGGTGCTGACACCCCATCAACCTACCTACTTCATCCTCTCTCCTTTCATTTCCCAGGGATTCTTGGACCCGACACTGTTCTGGCCATGATTTATCTGAATGGCTTAAGGGCTGTAAATTGCATTTGAAAATAGAAACAAGTGACACTTCTTCGTGACTCACATTCCCAGAGATTGAGGTCACATTTTCCGTTCTTCTTCTCTCTTTTGTGGATTTTATAAAAGGAAGGAATGGTATCTATAAACAATGCAAGCAGCCTCTGATGCATGACTCTTCATTTTGCCAGTGCCCCATTCACTCAATTCTTCTGTGCATTATTGAAAGTTCTAATTAGGGGACACCAGATCACTTGGGGGTGTAAGGGATGAAGGATAGTGTGATTAAGAGCATAGTTCTCCTGGGTTTAAATACCATATCTACCACTTCCTTGTTGTGTTGCCTTGGTACAGTCTACAATTAAAGCAGACACAGTCTCTTCAGGGGAAAAGGCAATGGGTTTCAACTTACACAGGCATCTCAGTGGGAATTTGAAGTTTAAAATAATCACATTCTCCCACATCCTCCTACATATTACTATTTTAACCCTGTGTCCCCCACTCCTTTTTTCACAAATAGTTTCAAATGGCAGACTGGAAATTTAGGCCAGGAATGGATGCACAGAAATCCGTTCCTTTTACAGAATTCCTAGGTTTCAGTCTGTGTCTTCAGCAGAGAATTTAGGAATTTGAATTTACCATGCTTTCTCCTTGTTCTGGCTAGCGCACTGGCACTCTCCCTCATGAGGAAGCAATCCCTCATTTGCATTCTTTGGTTGGGGATGGATATTCCACTAACCAAAGCCTTGTTTCCAGCATTCACTTCATCCAAGGTAAGCAGAGATGATCCTAAAAGCAGCTGTCACTGCATGCAAGCGTATAAGTCCCCTCCTTAATACTTACTGCCCCTTCTCCGCCTTCATCCCCAATCAGCCTAAATATCAAATCTCGCATCTTCCCGAGGGCCCATAAAGGGTGCCATCTTTCTGGGTAGCAATTGCTGAATATGACAATTATTCATCAAACATCAGAAATACAACAATATATATCAATTATTTCTCAATTTTACTGGGGGGGGGACACACTGAAATAAATTCTGGTGGATTTAATTTATTTCTGGACTGCATGATCAACTTCAGAAATGGGAAAGGCTCACACAAAAAATGCAGCCAAAATCCTGACTGTAGAACAGGCTGGAGCAGTAATGCTGGCATTAATGATTGCTACTTCTGGAAACTGGATTTAATGCCCTAACTTTTTTTTTTTACATAGTTCTGATTAATATGAATCATTTCTAATAAAATTTAGAATAGCTATAGTATATTTATTATCACTGCCTCTTTATTGGTTGTCTTTGCATCTGTAATTTTATATCATTTGAGGAAAAGAAACTCTCCTACACTGCTGGTGGGAATGCAAATTGGCCCAACCACTATGGAAAGCTGTGTGGAGGTTTCTCAAACTACTAAAAATGGAGCTTTCATATAATCCAGCAATTCTACTCCTAAGTGTCTACCCTAAAGACACAAAAAAACATTAATTCAAAAGGACAGCTGCACCCCTATGTTTATTTCAGCACTAGTTATAAATGGTAAACTTTGGAAACAACCCAAATGCCCAAAAGTACATGACTGGATGAAGAAGAGGTGGTATATATACACAGTGGAATATTACCCAGCAATCAAAAAGGACAAACTCATGCCATTCAAGCAACATGGATGGAGCTGGAAGGGATTATGCTCAGTGAAATAAGCCAGAAAGAAAAAGAAAAATATTGGATGGTTTCTCTTATAGGAGGAATGTAGGGGAACCAAATAAGGGGTCAGGAAATAAAAGTAACTATAATAAAGTAAAAATCAAAAGCAACAGGCATTTATAGATTAGAGACATTCTGTAGGAGAGGAGGAGGGACAAGGATTGGGATGGGGTGGGAAGAGCACAGGGGACTATGGTGATGGTGCATGATTGAATTGGTGGTGGGAATTTCATGGGGATTATACATTGCACAAATATGAAAAATTATGTAATATATATGAAATTTCATATCACTTGGTAAGCTCTTTTTTCTAAAGATTGTACTAATTCCCCACTATGAGTGATGACAAAACAGCTGTTCTCAGTAATAGATTTTATTAACCTCTATGACAGTTTGGCTTTAAATCTGAACTATTACCTTTATGTCATTTCTATGGAACTATGCTGATTAAAATTAATTACACTGGGTTTTCTGATATCAGTGCCCAGATTTATAGTGAGGTTTGGCTTCCAGCAGAAGGTTTTCATATCTTCCAGACTTCAAAAGATTGCACAGCCTTGAACAACCTCTGAGGTAAACAGTCACTCATCATCTACTCAAGCTAATGCACAGAGACCACTTTTTTCCTCAGGATCTTGACCCTTGCTTTCCTTCTGCCTGGAATGGTCTTCATCCTCAATATGACTGGTGCTGCATTTTGTGGTTTAAGTTCAAATGTCATGTCCTCAGAAAGGCCTTCCTTGACCACCTTAGCTAAAGCATGATTTCCCACCTCACCATTTTCTTTTTATTTAACTTTTCTGTAAACAATTTTCTTTTTTCAGGGTTTCCTTTCAATTATATTTTTCCATTGTTAACTGAGGTAACATTGGGGTTTCCTCACCAAGTATTACCACCACAGTTTATCCGCCACCAACTCACCCATACCCCCCACCACAGACAATCTTTAGTTCTTTCATAAAGTTTCTCCTCTGAGTTCTTTAATCTATGATCAGATTTTTTTAAAAAAAGATTTATTAATTTATGCCTATACCCCTATGGGGTATAGGCCAGAGGTCCAGGGGCAGTGAGAGGATTCACCAGAGACAGAGTGGGGAGCAGAACAGACAAATCAACAAAGTACATTGCTGAGGGAAGAAAGCAGTGGGTGGGTCAGGAGAGGTCTGCCGCACCATGTGGGTCACCTCCGGGGCTGGGGATTGAACTTGCACTTGAAGTGGCTGTGATTAGCTTGCAGTGCTGCACTTTAACCCATTGCACCACCTGGGAGGGCCCTCCATGATCAGTTTTAACCTTTGACAGGTTTTTTCCAGATTCAGGACAAGTCATATTGAAAGTATTTTCCATATTCAAATAACTGTTTCTGTATAAGTTCTTTGATGTGCAATGAAATATGATTTCTGGGAGAAACTTTTCTCACATGCATTACACTCATAAAGTATTTTCCCTGGGAGAGTCCTGACGCATGAGATATGATTTCTGGAAGAAAGTTTTACTACATTCATTGCATTTATAGGGCTCCTCAAGTTTTTCTTCTGTATGAGCTCTCTGGTGGAACATGAAATAAGAGTTCTGGAAGAACATTCTCCCTTATATGGTACATCTATCATTTTTTTCTCCTGAATGAATTATTTGATGAGCACTGAGACTCAGCTTAGGGAAAAGGCTCTTATGCAGTGTGATCAAATATAAGTTGTCTTTGCCATATGAGTTATTGGATGTCTGTGTAGTGTTGATTTCTCTCTAAAGGATTTGCCAAGTTCATTATATTCATATGGTTCCTTTGTGTGTGTTCTCAGAAGTACACTGAGGAGTGCCTTTTGATTGAAGGTATTTCTGCATTTTGAACATTTGTAGGTTTTTTCTCCTGCATGAGTGATATTATAAACAATAAGGAATGAAAGCTTGTTGAGGGTTTTTCTACACAAGAAATTCACATGTTTTCTCTCCAGCTTGTGTGATATGCTAAACAGGTATGATTCTGATATTTCCCACATGAGTTGTGAGGTTTCATTCTGTTATTTTTCTCACAGCTGCCATGAATTAATCATTCCCCATATCCATTTTGTTCATATTTCTGAGCTGCAAACCTTCTATCATGATGCAGAAAATATAAGTTATCTTTAAAACTGCTTTCATGTGTCTTCCACATAGGGTGTCTATAATGAAGAAATCACCCTTGTTTTCTGAGGAAATCTATTACATTCATAGCCTCTCAGTCACATTTTTCTTGTTAATGAATGCAGCTTGCCTCATGCATCTATTTCGGTATTCCTGTTACATCCCAGCTGGTCATCAGCTTGCCAGGCTTCTGGAAAGAAGTCGTGCCATATGACTACTCCTTTGTCAGAAGCCAACCTCTCATAGGGTGGACTTTTATTTTCTTTTAAGTCGAGTGATAACAATCAGAACGAGATTCAGAGTACGCATCTCTCCTATATGCTAAACTTGAGGGGAAAACACCAATATTGTTGTACTGGACATTGAAATAGGAAAGTAACCGTAACCATAAGTGATTTTGATTATTTAAGAAAAATACCTTAAAATGGAAGAGAGGAGATGAAAATAGTTTAGGGAGCCACGGGTAAGAAAAAAGGGAATTGAAAAGCAACAGATCCAGGATTTGGAGGGAGGAGACTCAAAAAGAATGGAAACCTTCTGGATTATGTTAAGTGAAATAAGTCAGAAGGAGAAAGATAAATATCCGATGGTGTCACTTATATGTGGAGTATAAAGAAATGGAACAATGTATTACACAAAGACAAACTTTAAAACCAACCCTTGAAAGCTGATTATAGGTCTAAGGAATCCAGAGGGGGAAGAGAAGGGAGGAGAGTTGAGAGTGGGGAGGGGAGAGCCCAGTGGGCTGTGATGGAGGACTATGGGTGCTTTGGAGTTGGGAGAGTTGTGGTAACCACACCTGAGGGGAGACACCCTATATTGCCAAAACATTAACGAAGACATAAAACAATGTTACCTCATTAATTTTAAAATATTAATGAAAAATAAAAGAATGGAAGTCTTCCAAGAAAGCTGAAAAATAACTGAGGTAACCAAGAAAATAAGTAGAAAGAAGAGGCCAGACTGAGGTTTAATTCCTCACCATCTCATTGCATGATTACCTTGAGACAGTAACTCATGAAACTAAAAGTTTGGAGTTAGCATAAAATGTTAACCTCTTTTAGGAAGTCATTCCTGAGCTTCAAAGGTGCTCAGCCCTCACTGACCCACAGGTGTCTTACACTCATCATCTCCCATCTGTTCTCTTCCTATTTACCTGTACAACTTATTTGAGGGTTTCTTTCTGCATGATCCAAACTCCTCTCTTCTCAAAAGAGGCAATCACATCTGGTTTGGTAACAAGAG